GGAAACTCTTCGTGTTTCTTTGACAAATTCAGCTCCTGGCGGTAAGGTGACCATGGAATATGCCAAAAGTGGTGTGTTGAACGAGGAAATAAGGAGAAAATCTCAGGGTTCGTCCTCACAAGCAGATATCTTGGTTACAGAAGACCGGGGGATAGATAGAACAAGAGGCTCAAGGAATAGAGGTAAAAGTAGAAGTAAGTCAAGGTCCAAATACTATAATATTACATGCAACCACTGTGGCAAGAAAGGACACATCAAAAGGTTTTGCCGCAAGTTGAATCAAGACACTAGAGAAGGAAAGAAAACTGAAAATAACGAGAACAATGTTGTTGCTATTGTTCGAGATGACCTTCTTTTTGCTTATGATGAAAATGTCATCAATTTGGTATCCCATGAGACGAGCTGGATAGTAGATTTTGGAGCTACCTCATATGTCACACCAAGAAAAGACTTTTTCTCATCTTATACTCCTGTTGATTCTGGAGTGTTAAAAATGGGCAATGCCAGTGAAGTTAAGGTGTTTGGTGTTGGCACAGTTTGTTTGAAAACTAATAATGGTTCAACGTTAGTTCTTCAAGATGTCAAGCGTGCTCATTTCCTTTCAATTTGATCTCCGCAGGAAGATTAGACGATGAAAGTTACCATAATGCCCTCTTTAATGGCCAATGAAAGCTCACCAAGGGCTCGTTAGTAGTGGCTTGAGGAGTCAAGTCAGGTTATTTATATGTGACACAGGGCTCTATTCTTAATGACTCGATAAATCTGGTGGAAAGTGATACTTGTCAGAATTGTGGCATCGAAGATTGAGTCATATGAGTGAGAGGGAATTACGTGTTTGGCCAAGAAAAGTTTGCTTTTTGGAGTGAAACAAGCAAAGCTAAAAATGTGCATACATTGTTTAGCTGGCAAACAGAAAAGGGTTTCCTTTCATAGCCATCCTCCCTCAAGAAAGCCCAATTTATTGGAGCTAGTACACTCTGATTTGTGTGGTCCTTTTAAAGTAAAGTCAAAAGGTGGTGCACTTTACTTTGTGACCTTCATTGATGATCATTCTCGGAAGCTCTGGGTGTATCCTTTGAAATCTAAAAATCAAGCACTTAGCGTGTTTAAGGAATTTCAGGCTTTATCTGAGAGACAAACGAGGAAGAAATTAAAATGTATTCGTACTGACAATGGTGGTGAATATTGTGGTCCCTTTGATAACTATTGCAAGGAAAAAGGAATTCGTCATCAGAAAACTCCGCACAAGACACCTCAATTGAATGGTTTGGCAGAGAAAATGAATAGAACTCTAGCTGAGAGAGTTAGATGCTTACTTTCAGAGGCTAAATTTCCAAATACATTTTGGGCGGAAGCACTTAACACTGTTGCCTATGTTATCAATTTGTCTCCTGCAGTTGCTTGGGATGGTGATGTCCCAGACAGAGTTTGGTTTGCCAAAGATGTTTTTTATGATCACTTGAGAGTTTTTGGGTGTAAAGCTTGTGTGCATGTTCCTAAAGATGAGAGATTGAAACTGGATGTCAAAACCAAGTAGTGCATCTTTATCGGTTATGGTCAAGATGAGTTTGGGTATCATTTTTATGATCCAGTTGACAATAAAATTATTAGAAGTCGTGATACAATATTCTTTGAAAACCAAACTATTGAAGATATTGACAAAGCTGAGAAGATAGATTCTCAGAGTAATGAGAGCTTAGTTGATATTGATCCAGTTTCAATTGCTAAGGCACCTATTGTACATGAAGGAACCCAAGACAATGATGGAGATAGTGATCAAGATCAAAATGATCATCATGGTGTAGATGTTATGGATGCTCCAATTGATGAAGTTGTGGTTGATCAACAACCAATTTCTGCACAGGTAACTACTTCGAATGCTCCTGAAACCTCTCTTAAAAGATCTACAAGGGAAAAGCAAAAATCCATGCGCTATCCTCCTGATGAGTATGTACTTTTGACTGACATGGGAGAACTTGAGAATTATGATGAAGCCATGCAAGATACTCACAAAGATCAGTAGATCGAAGCGATGAAAGATGAGATGAAGTCACTCCATGAGAATGACACATATGAGTTAGTGAAATTGCCGAAAGGTAAGAGAGCTTTATCTAACAAATGGATATTCAGAATAAAGCAAGATAACCATACCTTTGTGCCTAGATACAAGGCGAGGTTAGTTGTTAAAGGTTTTGGCCAGAAGAAGGGAGTTGACTTTGATGAAATTTTCTCCCCTATTGTGAAGATGTCTTCTATTCGTGTGGTTCTAGGCTTAGCTGCAAGTCTAGATTTAGAGGTTGAGCATATGGATGTCAAGACTGCTTTTCTTCATGGTGATTTAGATGAGGATCTTTATATGGAGAAACCTGAGGGTTTTGTAACTAAGGGAAAAGAAAATTATGTCTGCAAATTGAAAAAGAGCCTGTATGGATTGAAACAAGCTCCGAGGCAATGGTATTTGAAGTTTGAATCTGTCGTAGAAGAACAAGGGTACAAGAAAACTTCTTCAGACCACTGTGTATTCTTCTAGAAGTTCTCTGATGATGATTTTATTATTTTATTGCTTTATGTGGATGACATGCTTATTGTTGGCAAGAATAAATCCAGAATTGCAGTCCTTAAGAAGCAGTTGAGCAAATCGTTTGCGATGAAGGACTTGGGGCCAGCAAAGAAAATCTCGGGCATTCAAATCCACCGACATAGAGATAGAAAGGAGTTATTTCTGTCCCAAAAGCAATACATTGAGAAGGTACTCAAGAGGTTCAATATAACAGATGCAAAAGTGGTTAATACTCCTCTTGCTAAACACTTCAAATTGAGCATTAGTCAGAGTCCATCTACTGATGAAGAGAAAAAGGAAATGTCTCGTATTCCTTACTCTTCTGCCGTTGGTAGCTTGATGTATGCTATGGTTTGCACTAGACCAGATATTGCACATGCCGTTGGTACTGTTAGTAGATTCTTTTCTAATCCTGGAAAAGAACATTGGGATGCAGTAAAATGAATATTAAGGTATTTGAAAGATACTGCAGATTTGAAGCTGTGCTTTGGCAATGGCAAGCCTGAACTTGTTTGTTACACACACTCTGATTTAGGAGGCAATCTTGATAATTCAAGATCCACTTCCGGTTATTTGATCACTTTTGCAGGGGGAGCTATTTCTTGGAAATCTAGACTACAGAAGTGCATAGCTCTATCCACCACAGAAGAAGAATATATTACTGTCACAGAAGGTGCCAAAGAACTATTATGGATGAAGGAGTTTATTAATGATCTTGGCTTTGAGCAGTCAAGGTACATCTTATTTTGTGATAATCAGAGTGTTATCTGTCTCACCAAGCACTCCACTTTTCATTCTAAGACCAAACATATAAATAGTAAGTATCATTGGATAAGAATGGCCGTGGAAGAGAAATTATTTGAGGTTGAGAAGATACACACTGATGAAATTTTTTCAGATATGCTGACAAAGGTGGTGGTTACAGATAAACATGAATTTTGTAGAAATTCATGCCTGTCAATAGTTCCTCTACTTAAAGACACATTTGGCACCTTGGCTGGAGGGGGATTTTGTTGGGTTCATGCCCATATTGTCCAGCCAAAGACCCAATGGTCTAATCCTATTCTCTTTTGGTTTCCATTCCTATTTGGAATTGGATTCGGTTTATTCCTATTTTGAGTGGGTTTTGACTTTAAGAGAAAGCACCACCCGTGATCTATAAATAGGACAACCTTGGAGAATTATTCTATGCTCATTGATACAAGTCTTTGAAAGACTTAAGCACATAAGAGTGATTTTTGAGAGAGCTTTCGTCAAGAGAGAAGAGAGAAGAAAAATATTTGTTTTGCTGCAAATTTTTATTCCGACCAGCCAACATTCAAATCACGTTTTCAGATTCGTTAACCGTTAGATCGGGCTGAAATTTGGACGGAGTGTTAGTAACATCTTGGTCTTGAATTTTAATGGTGGAGATCGGATTTTGAGGCTCGTAGCATCTGATTTCGAGCCTCGAACAACAGCTTCATTTTATGGATTATACTCTTTCTTTAATTGATTAGTTGTTGCTTTTGTTACTATTGTTGCTCCGTGTTTGACACTTGTTGTGTATCCAATTTGAAGAACTTTTATAACCCTCTTATTGTTATAGTGGAACTTTTTAAATTTTTATAATCCCATAATTTTTACCTTCGATTTGAAGGATTTTCCAAGTTAAAATTTGGTGTTCTTTATCTTCTTTATTTTCGGGTGTGCCTCTTCTTAATCATAATTGCACCTGCTCTTCCCCGAGAGAAATATTCCTCTCGTTTTCAGCTGTTTGTAATTACTTACTTAATTGCTTATTATTCTCATTGAAGCTATTCATCAATGTTATTATGGTTATGTGTTCATGTTATCATTCTCATTTTTGCTTCAGAAAATCAAAGGTTTTATTATTTGCTAGCGTTGTTAAATTGACGAGTCTAAACTCTAAATTAAATGTAGACTTTTCGATTGTCTCGCCAAATCGAGAAATCCCACGATTTACTCCACAAAGCGCAATTACATGCACCTTTACGTGGAAGATGCATAGGCTAATTGCTTTATCAGTCATAGTAATACTCTCTCCATCTCATATTATGAGTCGTATATGAACCGTATTTTTTTACATATCTCTTAAAAATATTAATTAAAAAATAAATTAAACTATTTTACCCTTAGCCTTAAAATATTTAATCTATTTATATCTTATCTCCATTTTCAAAAATAATTATTACTAAAGGTAAAAAAAATACGTTCCTTAAAAAATATTAAACTATTTTACCTTTATTTATGCCTTAAAATATTTAATCTATTTATATCTTATCTTCATCTTCAAAAATAATTATTAAAAAAAATAATTAATATTATTTTAAACTTGACAAATAATTTGAGATAACTATTTTTAGTAACCACGACTGTTTATACGAGATGGGGAGAGTAGTCATTATGTAAAAAAGTTTCTTGTACTTCATACAAAGTATATTTTAAAGCAAGCGTCATAGGAGTATCATTTTAACAACTTTGGATAATTTCAAATACATGAACATATATAGCACGAGACGGTATACTAATACAAGTGAAAAAAACTAGACTAAATATGTTGTAGATTAGTTTAACTAGCTAGCCGGTGCCGGTAACGCCTAAGTCTTGTTTGTTGTCTTCCTTGCCGGCACCAAAAACAGGACCGCCTAAGCCGGCGGCATCCTTAACCTTGTCCTGGATTTTATCAACCTGGATTCCGCGTTCATCTTCACGGGAATGGAGTTCCATTTTGGGCTTGTCCTCCTCTTTCTGTTCGACCGATTCATATATTGTTGGTGTTAGAGATCCCTTTGGCTGTGCTCCTTGTGCCCCCGACATTCCTCACCTTCAACCTTTAACTTCTACGTACACCCCTATATATTATACCCTTTTTAACTTCGTACAATTCTTTGCTAAGTAGTTTGGAGCTAGCTTGCTAAGCTTATTATCAATGTGCATATTTATGAGTAGCTAACATATTCAATAGTCATGACGGTAAGATTGATGAGGCTGCCACGTTTCATACAAGAAACTTTCATGTGGCTAACGCGAAGAAGTTCCACGTGTGAGCTGTGTATGTCACTCCCTGTTAAAATTAATTAAAGGGAATTAGTTAACTGGTAGACCAAGATATCAGCTACTTCGTAATTATCGTGATTTTCCATTTTTTTCACTATATATTAATTCTACTAATACTCAATTGAATATAAGTGATATTTTTAATATGTATAGATATTTAATTATATGAAAATATTGGTACAGTATTTTCTATATACATTTAAAAACCTTAATCAAATACTATTACTCTCTGTAATCTTTTGAATAAGCCAGTTAGTGCAGGAGGAGGTTTGGTATGTTACACCGTACACGGTATTTCCATTGAAAGCTCATGGAACCTATTATTCAGAAACAGCTATAAAGATATTGAGAAGACGAAAAGAATGGCGCATGTCTAACGCAAAGGTAAATTGACAATTTAAAAAATTGTATGTTTGAAGTATTTACTCTTATGTGACCATGTACGTGAAATTAGTTTAAACAGAGGTTGTTTTTTCAAAAAGAGAAAATTTAATGTCGTATTCAATCTATATTGACTTAAGAGGGAGAAAATCAGCCCTAAGATTTTACCAGGTGTCAAATGCATAAAATGTCATGTAACAATTTTTAGGACAAATTAGCTAATTTAGGTCAAATTAGTTTTCTTTTTTTTTAAATTTTAAATTTGAAAACAATTAATTAGGTATTCTATATATATATATATTTTTTTTTTTTAAAAGCACGTTATTCTATATTTAAAAGAAGAAGAAGTAGTTTCTACGTTTGTTCAAAAAGAAAACCACATTCCTATGAAATAGGTATATAGATACATTTTGAAACTTAGCCGCTGGTAATTGGGAACGCCATTTTCAACTCTTTGCCCTAAAAATTTCATTCTCCAAATTCAGCACTTCGATCCCATGATGTCTTACCACGATATCAACTCCTTACCCATGAACTCTTCTGCCCACGATTCCAGTAGCATGATTTCACATTTTTATCAAATTAGTTCTAAAATCAGTTCTACTTTTACAGTATATAGTTCTTTTCTTTCTCCATCGTGTACATATCACACAACAATTCTACACTAAAAGAGATGATTGGTATGATTTGTATTTTATGAACGATCTTTATTCCAGTTGAAATTGTATTCCTTTAACAGATAATTCCGTGAAGTGTTAGTTTCTACTTATATTTACAAATAGCTCTATCTAAGGTTAACTTTTGGTCTCTTACTCCCATAGGTAGCTGATGGATTTCATGCCCACAATTACTTTACATTCTCTGTAACCTTCCCTTTTAACAAAACTTAAAAAAATTGATACCTGCTGCCTTTGGAATATACATCTAACTGTTTAATTCCATCACAATCTTCATTTATATTGTCTATAATAATTACTAATTTTGCACATATTTTCTCGATTTGTAGATGTCATTGGCAAAGTTGTAAGTTATGAGGACGTACAATCTATCAAGCAAGATGATAACATCTGTATGTACATGAACATTAAGATGTAAGATTATGAGTAAGCTCACGACAATTTATTCAACTAAGTAAATATTTCAACAATTTTTTACTTTGATTCCTATGCTTAACCTTATAATAATTGTAGGAGTAACAATATTTCTGCAACTCTTTGGGGAGACTTTGTGGAACAAATCAAGCCATATTTGAATGGATCCAATGATAAGCCTGTTGTCGTCGTCATGCAATTGATTAGAGCACATCGATATCGAGGTTATTAAATTGTCTACTTACTTTGCAATACAATGTCTCTATACAATTAGTAAACTCTTAAAAAGTACTTTTAAGATTGCAGAACAATATCCGGTGAGGAACACTTGGCACGCGTCAAAGCTTTAGATCAATTCAAATCTTCCTCAAGTTGTTGACTTTAGGTCTCTATAAGTTGGGTTAAATTTAAGGCTATTTCATCCTAAATTTTAGTCTTAAAATTTATTAATGTATCTCAAGTTAAAAAATGAAACAGAATGGTTTTTGTGCGTGGAGAAAGCTCACAAATAATTACTCAAATTTCATCTCACAAAACTCTCTCTGTTGCTAATGAGCTAGCATCTCGAAGTATTGAAGTTAAAAATATTAAGGATTTGGGTGACTGTAACCATGTGAGTACCTACTTTTAAATTATTCTTTACTTTTTAATTACTACAACTTTTATCTTATCTTTTTCTACATAACAATTGTATATATAATTTTTATGTGCAACCATGAAATTTCTGGGTTGTAGCAACTATTGTACACGTTGAATTAGACCGTGAATGATGCTATTTAGCATGCAAAAATTGCGCAACGAAACTAGAAAAAGAGGGGAATAATTCTATTATAAAAATTGTGAGCAAATTCAATCTGTCACTCATAGGTATGACCTTAATTTATAGTTTCTTTACTATTATATGATTTTAAAAATACAAAATCTTTCCAGGCTACAAGTTAAAGTGATGGATTGCACCAGTACAATTTCTTTGCTGTTGTGGGATAAGGATGCAACTAAAATTATCGAAAAGTCAGCAACTGATTTAAAGGATGTTGTATTTGAGGTATAATACAATTGCTTAGAAAAATAACACCATCAACGTTGAGAGAAGTGGTACATGATCCATTCCTCTGCATCTCCTTCTCGTCTTATTTATGGGGTAGTTCACTTTGTGTCTATATGCATGTGAGGACTGATATACTTGAAAGAACTTTAGGTTAAAATAATAATGTCAAAGTTCTTTTAAGTTTAAGTTACAAAGTGATTAAGATGTGATTTTTAAATTTCAAATGAGCTTATTCCTAAATTTGTATGTCTTTGCTCTTATTAGATTTACTTGAGAGGTTTGATAAGTTTGAACTTTGAAAGTACGGTAATAGTTCTCTGTTTTTAGGTGTCCTTGAGTTTCGCTAAACTTAAGATAATTGTAGTTAAGGTTAAGTTCTGTTTTTAATAGTTCACTGTTTTTATCTTTTCGCTAAAGTTTCATTTTGTTTTGAAGTTCTTTAAAATCTAGGTTTGTTCTTTTGCAGCTAAACACGTAAAAAGCAACAAAGACTCTAGCAAATCTACTTTTGTATACAAGTATTGTATGAAAGCTAGAATAATTTTGACATTAACACAACCTATTCTGTAACACCCCAAAATTTTTACAATATTTGCATTCTTGATTGAGCATTTTTTTATAACGAGGAAATATTTTACTTTGCACTTCCTAAATATAGAATGGTCAATATATGAAAATTTATTACTTTAGGTTGTGTTAATATTGGCAATGAAGTTCCATGGTGTTGCTATATGTAACACTTAGTATTATTTTGACGAGTTGTTAGTAAATATAGTATATAATTAAGTTTTGGGTTTCCAACCTTTTGTATTTATCTAAGAATATTTAGTAGTTGGGGAACCATTTTATTTCATATTTGTCCATAAACTCCCTATTCTTCTACTCTTCATAAACAAAGAAGAATAACTATCTACCTCTCTCTCTCTTTCTATCTCTATCTTTCTATCTCTATCTCTCTATCTCCTCCGTAAGAACAAGAAGCTGAAGTTTCATCAAAAAAACAAAACCATGGATTTCTAATAAATCAACGCACAAAATTCGTTTTTGGTGAAGATCAAGTTGCTCCTCTTGGTAAGTTTCTAAACTCGTTTTTATACTAGACACCTACTAGTATTTTCTACATATCTTTTTGTACAGAGCTCCGATTTAAGTGATCCAGGACTTTCTGGAAAGGTATTTCATAAATCTATAATTTTTATGAAGGAACCAAAATCTAGTTTTGTTGGTATATACCTGAAAAAGGGTCAAAAAGTACAGGACAGGTGCTGCCCAGATTTTCAGTTCTTGAAATACTCCATGTACTGCTGTTAGTAATTTTAGCATAAATTTTTTGTTCAAAATTGATATGGTGGTGATTCAAGATGTTCTGAAATGGTAAGACATAGATCTACAACTTTTGTGAAGACTATAAAGTCTAGTTTGTCCGTATAGATCTTCAAAACTGAGTCACAACTCGGAATAGTGATACTGTCCAGAATTTCTGTTTCAAACGTTTTTGGGTAATTTTCACCAATATCATGTTTAGTTGACTTGTTAAATCACTGAACTTATTTAG